CAAAAATAATTTTAGGGATTATCGATAGTTTTATTTTCGTCTCACTATTGATAGTTTATTTTGACTATCGATGTTTTGTGTAGTTAAGTGCAGATTTACCAACAATTTTCATAAAATTTCAAAATCTCACTTAATAAAGCTACTTAATTATATAGTCTGGTAATACCAAATGGAAATTCTAATTTTGGTAAGTAATATGTATGTATGTACGAAAAAAGGCTTTGAAGTTGAGATCAAATTCATGTATTCATTTCATATTCAAATTCATGAATTCATTTACCACTATTAGTGTGAAAGATACAATAAGTTGTTATAATATATATATACATATTTATCATATCAGTATTGACATTTACTATTATATAATTACACATACTTTTATTGGATGGAATTTATACTTAAAGAAGTGACAAATCTGAGGTCAATACAGCAAACGGCTACAAGCATATTACTTCGATTTACATTTTTAATAAGATATTTTATAAATCGCAAGTATAACTAATCGTACGATTTCTTGATAACTCAGTATATATGTTTATTAAAAGAATATCTTCTAATAAGTCTTCGTCTATACTTGCTCTTAAATCTGATAAAATAAATTGTATAGTTGAAAATGCTCTTTCGACCGACACTTGTGTTGCAGGAGCACCTAACGCGATCTCGGCTGAACTCTTTAAGTTTTTCTCTGTATAGTTTAAGTGGAGGACCATTTTTTGAGACTTGTAGCTGTGTAACTGTAGCTGACGATGGTTTGTTCACAATGTATTGTACTTCGTAATATTATTCTGGTTGGAATTTCTCGCGTTTTTTTTCAGTAATTTCGGAAATAATTTTCTCGAAAATGTCAGCGTTTTTTTTTATGTGTCTCATAAAAGTTTCAGAGTGCTTTCCCCTCATTTTTAATTTATAATATTTACACTGACTTGTGTTAGACTTCTTGTCATAAACAAAGCTTTCATGTACTATTTATCAGGGCTATTAAACGGAGAAGAGTTGTTTAGGGAAATTATAGCTAACTAAACTATTCATACAAAATTCATTTTGGAAGCAGTATTTGTAGAACTAAAAATTTTTAAATGTTTTCAATTTATATAAGAGTACCAAAATAGTTATTTTTCAATCAAAAGCGGTAATCAATATAGATAAAAAAGAATTTATGAATATTTCTAACCGAAACACTATTAATAAATTAAACAAAGAGTGTTAAAAATTGACGAAAATTTATTAAAAATAAAAATCTTCTTACAAAGATAACCAAAAGTAAAACACGAACCACGCAAGCGCAAAATATTTTAAAATTCAAAATACATTTTTTTAATTTTAGTCATAAACATAGGATTTGTTTTATTTTTCAATCCGGTATTTAAAATTAGAGATTTGTAAATTATTTGTAATTAAATTTTGGGAATTACAAAATAAACAAAATTTTATTTAAATGTTATTTAATTACTTTTTATGTTAATTCAATTGTATTTTAATGAATTAATGTAAGCCTGTTTTCAGGGCAGTGGATATTGGTGATCATGGTTCTCTCTCCAATTTAAGCATCATAAAACAATATGCATTTATACCTATATTATCCACTGCTTAATACATTTCATCGTTACTTACACATCTTTTATTATCGTAATAAAAGATACACAATGAAAATTGGGAGAATTTATTTACATTAAATATTAAGCAAAAAATATATTTTCGTTTTCAGTAATTTAAAGTTTTAGAAGAAGATGATGAATCGAAGAATGATCAAAATCTATTTTAGCATATGAATCATTTTCTGCACTTATTGTTGGAGAAGCAACATTTTCAATTTTTTGGAATTTCGCATTATCTTTGGTACTGCATTGCGGCAGATCTAGCTTTGCGTAATATAATTCATAACTGGACCAAGCAGTTGAAGATGTAGGCGTGGTAATATGCGGTGTTTATTTTCGTTTATACAGTTTGGAAGCCCATTATCGCTTTTCTCATTATCTATGATGGTCAAAAATGTGGAGAATCGTTGAATCGAGCGACTGATGAAAGTTTGTTGGCGTTGGTCAATGGTGCTAATGGAAGGAAGGCACGTTTGATGAAACAGAATATTTCCATTTATTCCTGCTAATGGCAATTTTCTCTCTGTAGAAGAGGATTCTGCTTCTAGAGCTGTAATTTTTACCATGTATGTTGTCTAGCAAAGAACATTTCTACTATATTCCTCATGGAATATGTTTTTTTAGTTTAATAATTTTCTCAGTATCAATCATAGAAATACTTTTTTAGTTTCGGTTTCATTAATTTTTTTGAAGTTGGTTGAACTGAAAGTTGGGAAATATATAACGAAAGATAAGTAATTTCCTCAGAGTTCGAAGTACTATTAAGTTTTACTTCTTCCAAATGGTGATTTCGATTTTTCTTATGTAATACAAAATCAAGTTCTTTAGTAGGCATACACAACTGATTTTGTTTACTGTTTGTGAGTTTTCCTCAAATAGATAGTTTCCGTGGGAATATATTTGTACTTCCTTTCTTTTTACGCGTGATGTAGATGTAATGTCTTTTTTGTTGTGTCGGAAAAGCTTTCGTTGAATGTGACAGGAAGTCTTATGCATGGAACATATTTCTTGATTCAAAGGCTTCATTTCCAAGTATCCACTTTCTTCATGATTTATTTTTTTAGCGAAAATGTTTGTAACATTCACTAACATGTTTGATGGATAACCCTTTACTTCGTTTAACGATACATCAGAACATTTCCACTGCCAGGTACAGCTTTTCCATTTTTTTATGGATAGAACTTTCGAAAAATCAATTTCCATTAGATCACTCATACAATCCACAGATACTGACTATTTGGACCAATATAGGAGCACTCGTTGACTTTTTATCACAATTCGTATTTAATCCCAATTTATAACCAGTATTGTCAGCCCCAAAATTTAAACTATTGTTACTAATACAACTCTGATTAAGCGGATCTGGGAAAAAACAGCACGCTGTAAGTCACATTTAGGAATTTTCGCCGAGATCCAACTGAAAACGCTCGGACTCGGATAGCGTTTTTGTCATGTAAAATCTCGTTCGAATTTCCCGATCGTTTGATTTTGTTTCTGTCTATCTATTCCAATTGAATACGATCGTTTAGGACGTTCCTCACCGTAAAATCAACAAATTTATTATATCAATATTTTGAAAATTTACAAAATTATATACTGTATTTTCCAAAAAAATAAGCAAAAATTGCAATTAATATCCCTATTGTGGAAAGGTATCGTGTATACATTTTTTCTGGCGATTATACAAAATTTTCTTTGCGTGTTATTATTCGAAACCCTGATATTAAAGTTATGTTCACATTTCGAGAACTACTGTTTAGATATTTGGCAGCTATGATCAAATTGTAAAATTAAACATAAAAAAAATATAAAACAATAAAGTTCATTAAAATTATTTAGTAGATTTGATTAATTTTACGTTTTTACAAAATCTTTTGCGTTAAATGCCCAAGTTTTCGAATTGATTAATATTGCATCTTTAAGGGTATGAATTTTATGAAACTAGAACTTTTACAAACTATCCACTTATGAAAAGAGTTTGTGCTGATTCACACACGAATCTTTTGATGCCGCAACTCGTAGTTTGTTAGCGAGGGCGCGAAGAGAAAAGGCGAGGGCACCGAGTTATGATATTGTTTGTAACAGTTTGCTGTTACGTAGTTCGGTATTCCGTTTAATTTGAAATTTTCCATCGTTGCAATTTCGTTCGGTTTCAAATAATATTATATTAAATGCGTTACCGATATTCCGCTAGATCACCAATTGATTCCTCTACTTGTTTATTTGAAAGACTTCAACGACGTTTGGATTGATCCACTTACTATGTATCTCGCCAAGTAAGTGGACTAAAAACACGGCTTTAACGAAGATATGTTTGGATATAGCTTTGTTCACCTTCGAAAGAAATTACAAGAATTAACACAAGCATTTATTCCGAATAGCCCTCAGGTAATTTACACTCATACGCAATAGAATCAAAGCTGTGCCCTCAGACTCTTTGATTCATTCTACAGAGATAGAGCTGCAAAACAATGATGGGACTTCCTCTACTATTGATAGTTTATTTTGACTATCGATGTTTTGTGAGTTAAGGGCAGATTTACCAACATTTTCAAAAATTACAAAATCTCATAAGCCTTAAGGACTTATAGGAACCCTTAAAGGAATCTCTATGGAGCTGTTGGGTAATTAGTCGGTGATTTAACAGACTGGTGGCTTGCAGGGCTGGTAGCCTCGGTTGCGCGAGTTGCCATCTCAACTTCTCGAGATGCTATCACAGAAGTCACCACGAATCGGTGCACTGGGATATTCGAATCAGTCTACGGACACACACAGTTGTGTGACGAATGAACAAAGTAGAACTACCGTTAAAACGGCGAAGCGGCGGACCGTATGAGTCAGTCGTGTATTAGTATTGATAACTTGCGCATTTGTTTCAAATTCGTCACTACAGAAATCGCTAAATCATATACAATTACATGCCAACAATTAAAGTTCAAAGGAATGAATAATAATCTGTAGTTGATATGCCAAAGACAGACATATAGTCAGGGCTGCAACCCATTCCAAAACTCGATGCGGTTCAGTTCAGTGGTTCGAACCACTAAGAAAAATTTACCGTTCAAGAACCTATTTTATAGTGTCTCTGAACCGCGTTCGGTTCAAATGTTCAATATTTTATACTAACTGATGTAAAAATGTTTGTGCATATATGTATGTATGTACGAAAAAAGGCTTTGAAGTTAGATCAAATTCATGTATTATTTCATATTCAAATTTATGAATTCATTTACAATATTAGTTTAAAGATACAATAGTTGTTATATATATATATACATATTTATCATATCAGTATTGACATTTACTATTATATAATTACACATACTTTTATTGGTGGAATTTATACTTAAAGAAGTGACATATCTGAGGTCAATACAGCAACGGCTACAAGCATATTACTTCGATTTACATTTTTATAAGAATTTTATAAATCGCAAGAATAACTAATCGTACGATTTCTTGATTACTCAGTATAAAGTTTATTAAAAGAATGTCTTCTAATAAGTCTTCGTCTATACTTGCTCTTAAATCTGATAAAATAAATTGTATAGTTGAAAATGCTCTTTCGACGACACTTTGTTGAGGAGCACCTAACGCGATCTCGGCTAAACTCTTACTTTTTCTCTGTATAGTTTTGCCGAAATTGCAAAATATCTGCAAGTGGTAAAAGATGTTAAATATTGTCAAAATTAATTTGTTCACAATCGTTTTCTAGTTGGTAAAGTTTCTTTTTATTTAATTGTTCAAGTATGGATTCCAGTTCCTAAATATTATATTTTAGATTTGAGATCAAAATTTTAATCAAATGTTTTTTGCAAAATCTTTTTTCTGAGTCTGATAATAAAATCTGATACCTGGGGTCTAAATAAACGACAGCTAAAGCACTAGAATTAGTTAATTAATATTCCCCTCGTTCTGTTAATGCAGTCAGAAACTTGCGACTTAACCACCCAACGTTTTTTTCATGTTGTATCGATCGAGTAACGCATTCAATAGCTGCTTATTTAGTTTCTAGTCGTAACAGATTCAACAAGGTATGTATGTTTAAGCTTTTTTTCTACGGATTTCACTTTGCTGCGGATTTCATCTATTTCCTTTAGGAAATCTGACACTGCTCAATTTGGGGTATGTGCAGCACACCTAATGACACTTATGGAGTTATGATATAAAAAGTGCTCAAATTCTTCAAACGGAATTTGGAATGGTTTATATTTACACTACTGTGTTAGACTCTTCGTCATAAACAAAGCTTTCATGTACTATTTATCAGGGCTATTAAACGGAGAAGAGTTGTTTAGTGAAATTATAGCTAAACTAACTATTTTCATACAAAATTCATTTTGAAGCAGTATTTTTGTAGAACTAAAAATTTTTAAATGTTTTCAATTTAAAATATAGTATAAAAATAGTTATTCACATCAAAAGACGGTAACTAATCAATATAGATAAAAAAAGGAAATTATGATATAACTTTATTAACCCACATATTAATAAATTAAAAAAGAGTGTTAAAATTGATGAAAATTTATTAAAATAAAATCTTCTTACAAAGATAACCAAATGTAAACACGAACCACGCAAGCGCAAAATATTTTAAAATTCAAAATCACATCTTTTTAATTTTTAGTCATAAACATAGACTTGTTTTATCTTTTCAATCCGGTATTTAAATTTAGAGATTTGTAAATTATTGTAATTAAATTTGGGAATTACAAAAAACAAAATTTAATGTTAATTTAATTACTTTTTATGTTAATTCAATTGTATTTTTAATGAATTAATTGTAAGCCTGTTTTCAGGCAGTGGATATTGGTGATCATGGTTCTCTCTCCAATTTTAACTCAATAAACAATATGCATTTATACCTATAATATCCATCTGCTTAATAACATTTCCATCGTATACAACATCTTTTATTATCGTAATAAAAGATTCACAATGAATAATTGGTAGTAATTTATTTACATCAAATATTTAGCAAAAAATATAATTTTCGTTGTGGATTGCGGCAAATCTAGCTTTGCGTAATATAATTCATAACTGAGCAAGCAGTTGAAGATTTAGCGTGGGTAAATATACGGAGCGATCGTTTTATTTTCGTTTATACAGTTTGGAAGCCCATTATCGCTTTTTCTATTATCTATGATGGTCAAAAATGTGGGAGAATCGTTGAATCGAGCGACTGATGAAAGTTTGTTGGCGTTGGTCAATGGTGCTAATGGAAAGGAAGGCACGTTTGATGAAACAGAATATTTCCCATTTATTCCTGCTAATGGCAAATTTCGCTCTCTGTAAGAAGAGGATTCTGCTTCTTAAGAGCTGTAATTTTTACCATGTATGTTGTCTAGCAAAGAACATTTCGTACTATATTCCTCATGGAATATGTTTTTTGTAGTTTTAATAATTTTCTCAGTATCAATCATAGAAATACTTTTTTTAGTTTCGGTTTCATTAATTGTTTTTGAAGTTGGTTGAACTGAAAGTTGGAAATATATATATACGAAAGATAAGTAATTTCCTCAGAGTTCGAAGTACTATTAAGTTTTACTTCTTCCAAATGGTGTTTTCGATTTTCTTCATGTAATACAAAATCAAGTTCTTTAGTAGGCATACACAACTGATTTTGTTTACTGTTTGTGAGTTTTTCCTCAAATAGATAGTTTCCGTGGGAATATATTTGTACTTCCTTTCTTTTTACGCATGATGTAGATGTAATGTCACTTTCTTTTGTTGTGTCGGAAAAGCTTTCGTTTGAATGTGACAGCGAAGTCTTATGCATGGAACATATTTCTTGATTCAAAGGCTTCATTTCCAAGTATCCACTTTCTTCATGATTTATTTTTTTAAGCAAAAATGTTTGTACCATTTCACTAACATGTTTTGATGAATGATAACCCTTTACTTCGTTTAACGATACATCAGAACACTTTCCACTGCCAGGTACAGCTTTTCCATTTGTTTTATGGATAGAACTTTTCGAAAAATCAATTTCCATTAGATCACTCATACAATCCACAGATACTTGACTATTTTGAACCAATATAGGAGCACTCGTTGACTTTTTATCACAATTCGTATTTAATCCCAATTTATAACCAGTATTGTCAGCCCCAAAATTTAAACTATTGTTACTAATACAACTCTGATTAAAGCCGGATCTGGGAAATAAAACAGCACGCTGTAAGGAATTTAGGAATTTTCGCCCGAGATCCAACTGAAAACGCTCGGACTCGGATAGCGTTTTTGTCATGTAAAATCTCGTTCGAATTTCCCGATCGTTTGATTTTGTTTCTGTCTATCTTACTTCCAATTGAATACGATCGTTTAGGACGTTCCTCACCGTAAAATCAACAAATTTATTATATCAATATTTTGAAAATTTTAACAAAATTATATACTGTATTGTTCCAAAAAAAATAAGCAAAAATTGCAATTTAATATCCCTATTGTGGAAAGGTATCGTGTATACATATTTTTCTGGCGATTATAACAGAAATTTTCTTTGCGTGATTATATATTCGAAACCGCTGATATTAAAAGTTATGTTCACACTTTCGAGAACTACTGTTTAGACTATTTGGCAGCATTGATCAAATTTGTAAAATTAAACATAAAAAAAAATATAAAACAATAAAGTTCATTAAAATTTATTTAGTAGATTTGATTAATTTATACGTTTCTACAAAATCTTTTGCGTTAAATGCCAAGTTTCGATTGATTAATATTGGCATCTTTAGAGGTATGAATTTTATGAACTAGAACTTTTACAAACTATCACTTATGAAGAGTTTGTGCTGATTCACACACAATCTTTTGATGCCGCAACTCGTAGTTTGTTAGCGAGGGCGCGAAGAGAAAAGGCAGATCCTCTCT